CTACTGTCAAGAATCTTGGGTACAAGGTAGAGCACTGTCGGGAAAGGAGGAGACTCTAAGGCATGCGCATCTCGCATAAATTTGTTTCCAGAGAGTGTCAACAACCCTACAAGAGTACAAGAACAGTACAAGAAGCCATGATATGAAATCGTCACTTCACGGTTCAAAGTCATAATTGTGAGCTTAGGTTCACTTAAACGTAGGTGGCTGGTAGTTGTCCCTTTAAGCGGGAGGATTAATAAATACAGAATAACAACGTAAGTAATGATAATTAATTATCCGGATTTACAACCGCTTGATGGTTTCACGAGTTTTACACCAAGCAGCAACAACTCTAACCTCATCGTTATTGCGCTCTGGCGAAAGGGTCTTAATAAGCTGAAGTCCTATATTTGATTTCCCGGAAGAAGCGTAAAAGTGTCGAAGACGCGGTTCACGTAAGTGTGAAGAGAAATTATCATCTAAAGGAGGACCACGCTGACGAAATACATTTTCAGAGGTTGTCATCTTGTGAATACGAGAAGCACCCCCTCAAGTCATGTTTGAACGACTTTGACGTGGAGATGTTTGGTTTCTCTTCATTCCTTACGTATGGTGAGAACTGCAAAAAAGTGGGGTGAGTGTGTGAATCGCTTCACACACAGGGAAATGTAATGGCGCCCCGTGCGATAAGCTTCACAAGAGATTCTGAAGCCCAGAATCTTGTCTTGCTTTTGAGGTCGTGATCCAGCGCGTTTCCTTACTCAAATTTCGATAAGCTTTGGACTTCTTCTCCATTCATTATATTAATCTTGGTACTCCGAGGCAGACCTTCTCGCTCATTGGAATACCCATTAATATACAGTAGTTTGTGTAGATATTTTATTTCCTTACGCACTCATGATTATTATTTTTTATTATTCTGTAGCCTCTGTGCGACCCACAGAATTTAATAGCCATATGCTATTGAAATATATCGTCAAACTTCATGTTTTATCATATCCGCTACACTGCCCTGATAGTTTGATACTTGACAGTGAATGTCAATTAGGGATAAACTTTTTTCACAATCATGCGGTATCGCAGAGGTTAGACCTAAATTTATTTTTGGTTTCAGAATTTGCTTGTGTCATCTGCATAGAGCTTAGTGTCGCCATAGGTAATTGTGACCCCAGTGTTGCTCCTAGGGACATACAATAGGATTTTGTTGCTAAAAAGGTGTAATTGCTTCATGTTTCACGAACTGCTGCGCACCAGTCCGTGAAACATGAAGCAATTACCTTTCAAGCCCTTTCCATACGTAGTCTCCACAGTCTGTGCTCTAGTTATTGAAGCAAAATTCCTTTACGATACGGTAGAGTATGAGGCTTAAAAGCTCACAGCCCATTATTGAGTCCCGACTCTAAAGCGCGAGCTCACGCTCCCCTCTCCTTCCAAACCCTCCTCCTCTGTAAGGTCACAGAAGTTATCTGACACGAGAAGTCTTGGGAGGCTGAATTTGGCCGGAACTGTTACTCCGGGAATCCGTTTCCCGGGTTCGGCCTTCCTTTGGGGTTCCTTAACGTCAGGCGTGCTACGTGCTCCGGGGTCTCCAGTCCCAGGTCGCGGGAGCCAAAGGAGCTTTCGACTGAACCACTCGCTTGCCCTGTCCCGGCTTTCACGGTTGTGCCTAAAACACGCATACTCGAGGTTTCCTCGGGGAGACGAAGGTCATAATTAAAGAGAGTGAGGTATATTTGATCCATACCCGACCTCTTTCATCTTTGAGGTTCTCTCTCCGTGGTGCCAAGATAGGCTCTAGACGACGTCGACAGAAGTGAGACTTGCCTAGGTTGATGACAGCACACCGTATTAATATAGGGTGCAAAGCTTGTGCATAAATCAGGGCCCAGCTCGCAAGTACAAAAAAGGAGAGAATGATTGAGACAAAACACGTGTATGTATGCATAAGAGGAAAAGTCTCATCCTCGGTAGATTGTCCAGGTACATGCACTCTCCCCATTGGAGTTCATCCAGGTCCTCCTTTTTTTCCCCTCCACCTCGCTTCGACGAACTTCATAATCGATCTGCGATCACCCTTGTCCGGCGTTCTTTCTTTTTCACACGAGAGCAAGACGATACAACTCATGATATCTTTCCTGCTTTTCGCTCCTCCTCGACTCATTCGGAAATAGACGGATAGAACGCCGCAAATGCTAGTCGACTGTGATTTAGAGCGAAGTGAAATGCAGAGTGGTCAGCCAGAACTCATCCAGAAAGATCTTCCTTAATCTGAAATATTCCAAGACGTCCACGAGCAATGTTTATATCACGTGCGGATGAAATCACCAGTCACTAGCGGTAGGCCAAACGTCCATTCTTTGACCGAATGTCATACGACTCTCGATTACCATCTCTCTGGCTAGACTTCTGATTTGTATTTGACTTCCTAACCCGTAGGGCATGACGGCGAGTGCCTCCATGAATCTTCGTTTGGAAGTCATCGTATGAGTCTAATAGTATGCCAATAAACCTTTAACCCAGGGGAATATTGGGATCACTTCCTTGTCAGAGCAAATCTCATAAAATCTCAGATTAGATCTGAGATTCCATTAGATTTGCCCTAAGATCAGCCCTTAGATTAAGATGAGGTTTAGAATCTGATTCCTATTCCTTTCCAACCACCAATCCCACGACAAATCGTTAGAGGGTTTTGTTTCAAAAGAAGACAGCATTCATGACGAAGGGTACTCCCAAAAAGTAACGGTAAAGCTCCTTAAAACAAGACACGAGAAATTCTCACGAACTTTTAACGAAATACTGTTCAGAAATACAAAAGCAAATGGAATGTCAGAATAACATAACGAAGCATTTCGTGATTCAGATCTGGTATGTAGCAAAATCAAGAGATTCTTCCCGGCTATAAATCAATAAATCGGTCAGCGACTGGTGAAAGGCGAAAACAGGCTTCAGGAATACGATGTTGTCGTTTACTATCGATGATGATTGAGCGATTCAAGCTGCCCTCTTATGTGATGCGAATGGGAAAATTGCTGATTCGATGCTCTTGGAGCAACGTCGGTGGTGGAGAATCACGTCCATCAGGATCATCGTCAATCTTTCTTCTTCCAAACAAAAAAGTTTACTTCAATTTATTTTTCATTTGCATTTATTTAAAAAAAAGCAATTCCCCTTCGGAAGAATATTCAAGGAATATGATTGGAAGCGCGAGAAAGTCCTAAAACAGCAGGAATAGAGAGAGAGAGACAGGAAAAAAATTATGCATTTTCAAATGCATATGGTCTTCAAAGTCAATTTCAAGTAAGACGTAATTAAGTTATCTGTATTGTCTTTCCACTTGATATCAAATTGCATCGATGACCAGTTTATCATCCGAGTTTCTCACGGAAAACAAATTTGACAAAAAAAAAGTCTGCTTGAGAATCACATGGCCCTACGATGCATTTTTGGGATAAATGCCCACCTGTGGTTTCCTCCTAAAGACAGGCTCTTAACTGAGCTCCCATTTTCACGGCTTGTAGAGCAAATGAAGCCGGGCGTTTTGTCTCTCTTTTTTTTTGTTTCTGCGTGTGAAAAATCTCAGTGATCAGCTTGGCTCGTTAGTCTCCAGTCCATTCCTTCCCTTAACTATTCAGGTCATATAATATAAATCACCATCACCGCGATTACGTCCTCTGTTCCCCATAAGCAAAGGAAAATAAGAAAAACGCACCTAGTCGAGTCTCATGAAATTTCTTCACGGCTAGGTGCCGTAAGTTCAAAGAAAACAGTTCATAGAGAGACTTCAGAGAAAAGGGAGGTTTCGCATCATTTATGGAACTGGAGGTTTTTTTGGCACGATTTCTTTCTAAAGAGAGGAAAGGGAGGGGGAGACGAATTTCCATACACCAGGTATGGCCAGCCTCGATTTAGAAGGGAAATGCCCCATATGTGTGCCTCACTAGCTCTTCTGGAAATTACGCCTTAAGCCTTAAGGGGTCTCTAAAAGGAAGAATGAAGGCTTTGCGTTCCCCCTTTTAACCAAATGGAATGCTACCTTTTTTTTTACAATTTATGTTAGTTTGCTCTTGCCAGTAATTTTGGAATGAATTTCTTAATTTGTATCAATGCATCTTACATACGCACCTGGCAAAGATGTATTTGATTTGCAAAAATGTCGCAATTGGGCAGTGCATCGCAGGTCCAAGCCTCGTGGCGATCTGAAAAAGATAGACAAAAATGGAATGGTTTGCATTCTTCACAGAGACAAGTCTCACTTCTCAGGTCTCACTTCCCAACCAACAACTTCTTTTACATCGGAAGTTCGTACTGCATTTTGAGAATGTTTTATTCCTGTCTCTGTCATGTGAGATGCTCCTTGGATTCTTGTTTCATCCTCTCGTATCGTACCCTCGGAAAAGAAGGAAAACGAAAACTTGAGAAAGTAAGCAAGAAACAGGAGAAGCATTCCGTCCTCACGTCCTCTCTCCTACGGGAAATTTTCAGGCATAATTTTTTTTTCCATTTTTGTCTCGACCATAGATATGAGTAACGTTATTGAAGCCCTAATTGCACCCTCGTTAGCTCTGTCAGCCGATGTATCTCTGATGGCATGTCGATCTATTGGAATTTCAGCATTCCACGATGAGTCAGTAAGTTCCATCGCCAGAGATACCATTCTCATTGATAGCAATTAACTCGATCGAACATGAGCCTCGAATCGTCGATAGGACGATTCGAAGTCCCCCTGTTCTCCCCTATTCAAAGCCTTGTTCAAGCCCCTGTTCAAAGAATATCGTTCGAGCAATATTAGGTTTCGTATCTATAAAATGGCTGAGCATAAATGGTTTAGCATAGCATCTCCCCCCCCGCACCACTCAGATAGCATATCACCCTTACTATGTTTTTCGTTCTTTCCTCCTCCGTGTCTTTCTTCTCGGTTCGTCACTGATGAGTCTGACGTACGAGAACGCATTTGCTCCAATAGTTTTTCCTGTTTCTTTTTTCTCAACACTTTCTGTTCTGCATCCTTACCGACGCAGACTGGAGAAAGCGGGAACTTCTTCCGGCGGGAGACGATGACGTGACGTCCTTTTCGTCGTCGTCGGAAACCGATCTTAATCGTCGTCGTCGTCATCATGCAAGAGGAGAGCAGAAGAGAGAACAGCAGCATAATCGGGAAGACAATCGATAGCAACAGCGACAAAGACTCATGCGAGATGGGAGAAATGAAGCAACCGAGTCCTACCTCATCGAATTCCTCGTGTTCCTCGTCCTCGGGAACAGGAGTATTGGACATCTCGAATCCCACCAATCCACTCTCCCACCTTCCAAGGTCCGTCTAATTCCCTCCATTATTGCCTCACCACTCCTCTCCATTTTGCACATTCGTCCGGGATCGAGGTCATTCCTTGCCCGTAGCCACTCTTCCTTTTCCGACAAAAGAAAGGCCTTGTCTGCCAAAACACGGGGAACTTTTTTTTCTAAGGGGAAAGAAACGGAGAGGCTGCCAAACCAACCTGTCCTTGTGCCGAAAATGTTTGGCTACGGGTAAAGAATGCATCTTTCACTTTCGTGTCGGATTTTCGTCCCTGAGGTTTCACCGGCAGGTGACCGCAAAATTTCACAAGTTTTCTGAACCATATTTCGGGCAAAAGTTTGCTGAGGCGATTCCCAACAGTTCTCGATGAATGCAACAACAACGTATTGGCAATTATTTGGGAAAGATAGAGATGGAAGTTGCTGGAAGAAATGAAAGAAAAACGGGAAAAAGTTGGAGCTTCTACGGGTGCACTTATCGATAGGGCCTCGATAAGGACATTATATGTTCGTATGATCCGGTTCCCACTGCTTCATCGATAAGTTACAATTATTATGATGATGAACCTGTAGAATGTCCTGGGATATGAGCACAAATACCAGGATCGGGTATTACCCTCAATGAATACTGGTGAAAATGTCGAGAACGGGATTCCATAAGCCTTAACATCTTAATAGCAGGAGGATGACGCGAGCATTGAGACAATCAATCATGGGACTGTTTCTTCCTTTTCTAGAATTCCTTGCTATGTAAAAAAAAAAGTCCCAACTTATCGGAGTTTTCATGCATTCTGAATGCCACCTTCATGAAAAGCAGTGGAAGAAAGTAAAATGTGAGTTTAGGTTAGGTTTATGCTTTAAAGCTTCTATTGATAACATTTCGTACCTCAAAGATGTCTCATAGAGGCTTTTACAGAATAGACATGCGTTTTATTCCAGTAAAATATTTTTCTCATTTCATAATAACGAAAAAGGGCCAAATCACATTATATCTCTCTCATGCCAGACATTTTGTAATCCAAGTTTTGAATCGTGAACCCAACATCACAGGATCTCATGTAGACCTCTAGAACCTAATTAATACCCTGTGTGAGAAGATCTGAAGATGGCGTGAGGTATGAGAAGCATGAAGGGACAGGTTACCAGGAACTGTACCGTAGATGGCGTGCTGCGGAAAACCTTGCTTCCTTTCTTCTTTCTCCCACGAGAGACACGGACAAAATGGGTCGGTTGCATGCTAGCATCATCTATGAACTGGAATTCCGTTACGAACGAGATTGAATGCTCGTCCATTCCACGAAGACAATTCAGTATATCGCAGAGAGTATGTACCAGAGTGTGCTGAAGTAGAAAATGTCTAGTTATGACTCACAAGATTTTCTTCTGCCAACTGCCAAGTATCCAAAAATTTGTCTCCCTTGCTCTTTCGGATGCACCAGACCTAGCTTATCTGATAGTATATATTTAATTTTTCGACATGGCTGTCGATCAAGTCGCGGAGGCGTCCATGGAGTCCATGGAGGAGAATGTGAAAGCAATCAAAATTAATTATTTTTGTGAATATCTTAAAAATTCCTACGTATGCAAGAACGTAGACATTACTGCAGGAGAAGAAATCACGTATCCAACGTTACAGGTTTGCTCCTCCTTTCGATGACTGTTGGGGAACAGAACCTGCCTTCTGTTTCCCCTGATCTGGATCAATGGCACGCAAGGTTGAAGGAAGCAATGAAGCGACTAGTCCTGCAGTGCAAAGAACCACGAGGAGAGAGAGGGGGAGAGAGAAGGAGAGGGGAGAAAGATTCGGTTTCACGACGGAAGAGTCATCCCGACCCAGTTTCTAAATGCGTGGCATCGGGCTTTGGGATTGTGACCTTTAACTTTAAGGCCCTCTCCCGAGGACTGATCACGGTCGAAGGAAACCTGTCATCATCTCCTGTCGCTAATCACGATCTTCTTCTTTGGGGTCAGGTTTCTTTCCCTCAGCCAGCTGATCCAGCCTTTCACTCACCGTGTCCATGTCACGCCCTGAAGAATCTTCGATACCAGCGCCCAAGTCTACGTAACATCGACTCTGAAAATTTTGGAGAATCGAAGGACATGCTTCCTTATCTTCATCGAATATCGCTCGTCAGGGACAGCATAGTATATTAGTTTCTACGTGACATGGTCGGACAAAGTTTTGTGCTCATCAACTCTGTAAGAACCGGTCTGATGCAGCAATGCCGTTCCAAATCTGATACACGTGATTCATGAACGGAATGATTCGAAGAGATTCGTATCCAGCACACCTCATTTTCCCCGCACTCATGAATGCATTAAGTACTCTAGTTCCTGCTGCATGCTCTGCGATGACCTCGAGGCAGGTTCAGAGAGACTTTCACGATATATTCATCCGTGAGAAGTCCACGCCCGAAAAAGGGTCTTGGCTTCTCGAAGATCTTCCGCCTTTCCGATGATGTCAACTCGAGGGACCAAACCCTTCCGGGTATCTCTTGCAATCCGGTTTGGCAGATCCTTGAATTTCACAATTAGAAAATAAGTATCTTCATCTTTTCTCCGAGTTTCTGAAGGCAAAGTACTACCGCCAGACGGACGATCTGAAGGGCTATGAACCATGAAACCGGGAGTTGTCTTCCCCGGTACCTGTTCTCAGGGACGGGAAAGGAAGCAAAAAAAAAAGAATGTCCGAAGATGGAAGGAGGAAAGGATGGTTTTTCGTCTCACCCCTTCTCGCTACGCATGGCCTCCCACGTCTGACAACCGGTCTAGGAATATCATTACAATGGTACTGAAGAGAGACCCTCACCTTTCTCACTGGTACTCAACCCTCTTCTTTTTTTTTATCGGATTCCTCTGTCTCTTCCTCCAAGTACTCCGACTCCCACAACTGAGACACAGAACCAGTTTGGCCACTTTTCTTCCCTCCTGATTGTCACAGAGTCCTCTTTCCTTTGGACATTGTTTCATTGTTTTCTTTGTACATTTACAGTGAATGCCATCAATGTTCATACCACACGTAACTTTTCCATTTCTGCCTGCCCAAAAAAAGAAGGAAAAAAGAATTGGAACTATATGCCAGCGTCTCTTTGGTGGTCAATCTTGGGAGTTTCAACAGGACACGTTCTCTGAGTTAATTGGCTTGACGTTCAAAAACTTGTCGAGCTGACCATGCAGTAGAAATTATCAAAAAACACAAATGCTCGTCTTACAACCCTGACTGTAATCCAATAGGTTACTGTGCGTGGAGTCTGCTGGAAGTAAATGTCCAAAACCGAAATCCAACGGCCCCGCGAATCAGTTAAGGCTGGAGCTGAAAGAGGAGTGGGACCATGTCCGTCGAGTGTAATCGACCGACAGACTCAAAGATTGCAGGCTTGTCGTCAAGAAGAAAGGGGACATTTATAAAATATTTTGGGAAGCGTTACTGTGGGTCTTTGTGTCTCGTTGGGATGCAGTTGATTCTATGATAAATTATTAGTACAGGAAATACAAGACTTCGATTTGGTGTGAACATTTATGGCCCATCCTGTGTTCTTTTTTCCTCCTGCGTCCCTGAAGTGGGTTTACATGCCGAACCAGGGACGCCATTTCGTAAACTGCAAGGGGGGGGGGGGGGGCAGCAGGGTCAGAGGGTAGAGAAGGGTTATGGGTAGGGTGAGGGTTCCCCCCCCCCCCTCCCCACAGTCTCTCCAAAATGACGTGCCTGCCGACAATATGAGCGATATATCTTTTGGCCGGAGTTTACTCTCTCATCATGCGAGGTGGATACTTGAATCACTCCAGTGATCTAATGATACAATCAGGGAGCAGCGTAGTCTCAACGCGTTCGAGCTGTTCGATTCTCACGAAGGCGAAGAATGGGAAATGGGGTGTTTGTGATACGTGAAGGCATGAGTCAGAAGCACAGAGGGCGTCATAAAAGTGGAGCCATGAGTCATGGATGAAGGAGTTGAACAAAGGAGAGACCAAGAGAGATCTCATTCCATTCATCTAAATAATAGTAATAAGTCAGGGCTCCTCTTCCCTCCCCCTTCGCACTTGCATCTACAGTTCTCAGGTGCCTTCCTCGGTGTATAAATCTCTGGATGATCACAAGGAGAAGCCGAGCACTATTTGGAGTACCGTTTTTCACTTCTTCCTAGCCGTTATTTCCCCTTATCAACGACCTCATCCGGATTCGAAAGACAGCAAAACTAGAAAAATGTGGGTCAAGGCGAGAGTTGCCGTGATGGATTGATGGGTGCGGTGACTACGCACCAAGGATGCCACGTCATAGATATGATATATGATACGCCGCATTAGTACACGATCTGGATATTTTGCATACATTAACTCTAGGACTTTCTCGTCCAGAAACCTCTGTGCAGCTCTTTTAATTCCGCTTTATCTTTGCAGCTCGAGTCGAGAGATGCGAAATCAGGCGGAGAAGTTGAGACGAGACAAACTGAATACCTACATCAGTCAATTGGCTCTCATCGTCCCCACCGTTGGGCTAGCCAATAAACGACTGGACAAAATTTCCATCCTTCGTCTCGCCGCCAACTTCCTCCGCATTCATCTTGGTGAGTCTCACGGGGGAGAAAAAAAGCAGGGTTTCGGAGAAGCGGACCATGACAGTACCTTTTGGGTGGCATTGAGTCATCCATTTTCGGGGGTTTCACGAGCACACACCTGCTGAGTCTCCTTCAGGAAACGTCTCGCTTTTGAATCGTAAACGAGAAAACTATTCGAAACTGCCGTTTACGATCCAGACGTTACAAAAAAAGGAGGAAAAACCTTGAGAGATCTGACGACTCGTCTTTCCGTCACGTCTCGGTAATAACTTGAAAAGAATGGTGCTGAGCAGAGAGGGACAGGGAGGGATACGCACATCCGATCGTGCAAATATCTCTGATCTGATCTATCATTGATCTTACGGGATCGAATCTCTCCTGGTAGACAGAGTTGCAATGAAGAACCCCTCCGGTGTATCAGATTAAATATACGCATTGGTGTCTTTCATCCCCCTTTAGGCTTTTTCTCTCTCAACCGGAATAAAGTCGTGAGGTCATGAACGGAACGCTTTCGTGACGCGATGCCACTATCATCCATGTCTTTGTGAGACCGTCGTCTTTCATCATTCTCATGTCTTTCATCTTCTGTCTTTCATCATCACGACCTCTTGGCAGCCCAGGAATGAACAGTAGATGCATTACATCCCGAATAACTTTTTTTCTGATTCATGACGGGAGGAAAAAAAAAAGAAAACGGGGAAAGGGTTTCGTGACGCCGCAGTGAGTGGTCAGGAACCTATTAGGGGAATGCATAATATGATAGAGGAAGGGCAATAGATCAAATAAGTCGGGGGCTGGATGGAATTTTATGGGCCCCCAAAGTGCACCTTCTTCGGCTCCTCGAATTATCCTCCAGGTATCATGCGTCTCCATAAAGACGCCTCCCGTTTCCCCAATTTCTTCCATCACCCCACGGTAAGTATCATGTATCGAATGGGATCCATCCAGGGCTTGCCAGCGATAATGCGTACAGAACCCTTGCATACGAGCCGTGCGAGCAGACAAGGGAAGACTCGGAAACGTCTCGGCGGTGTTAAAAGTCAATCTATGCGCGAAGAAACCGCATTGTAATGGCCGTAAGAATATGAGTTTCTTGAAGGGGTAAAAGGTGACCAGCGAATGCATTGTGCTAACCATTGCTATGTGCGACATCCCGAAGCGAGTCATTTCCGGGTTGGCCAGAAGATCATAAAAATCTCTTCACGGTCATAACCCTCTTTCTCTCCATGGGCATTATTTGGATCCTTTGTTTTTTTCTTCTACACCATCTCATTCTTCGCGGTTACCTTGGAAAGACGATCTGAATGGAAGGAGACATAGCCCAGTGATCCCATCTCTTTCCAGTCGATTTTCATGCTGACAATGGAAGAATTTCACACTTCGATAACTCCCACACTCTGATGAATCCACATGTGATAATTCGAGATTGGATTATTTTATCTCTCTGAATAATTTTCCGACTCTTTCTCTAGGTTTGCTGTCGGGAGTGAAGAAAGCCAAATGGCCGGCTGAAGCCTGTATGGATTCTCTCCTGGAAGTGAGTTCATGTTTCAGCATGATTATAAAGTAACAAGAATAAACTCTGTCTTGACCCCGAAACATGCGATGAACCGGAGGCGGTCTTGCGCCGGTGCCGGAGAAATCAACGACCGACTTCGTGTGTTAGGAGAAGTATTTTGCATTCTCGTGAGAGAACGTGACAGGTTAATTAGAAGAAGGCCAATAATTGAATAGAGACATTCCTGCATCGTCATTCCCCTCCACCCTTTCATTATCCCGGCTTTTCGTTCTATCCGTAGGCTTTGACCTCTCCCGAGAGAGATCTGGCTCTATATGGGAATCATTAGTGAACTGTTAGGCGAATGGAGAGCCACTCGTGAGTGAAGAGGCAACAGATTGAGTGGACAGGTCTTTAAAAACAAAAGAAAAATAAAAAAGAGGCAGAAGGGAGGACCTGACGGAAATGGAGACGATGAGATTGCTTCGTTTATGTTTGTGTCCCTGTCTATGGTTAGGTCATTCCGTGTGTAACGAGATGCCATTCATCTCTTCCCAGAGCTTGAACGGGTTTCTTCTCGTCGTCACGGGGCTCGGAAGGATCATCTACGTCTCTGATGGGGCCGAGAAACTTATGGGGCATTCTCAGGTGAGAAATAGTTGGTGCTCCACATGCAAAACTTCTCTGTCGTAAGAAGAGGGGGGGAAGAATTGATGAAATCAAGATTTCTAATGAACTTCCGGTTTCTGATGTTTGGATATGGAAATGCTTCGGAGGAAGTAAGAATACCTTAGTTAGCATAATTTGACAAAGGGGTTCCAGCCCGGAATATTCCAGACTGCGGCTTTCAACCCCTTCGCAGGTTCCTGAGCGGAATTCACCAGGAAAGCAAAATGAGCAGTCCTTAAATCAAATAATCGCTCACGATTGCCATCGTGGTCCAAAGCTTTGGACAAAAAGCCTACCATCCAAAGTAATCGAGGCGTCAACTCATCCTTTGTTTTCGATGATGAGTTAAGAAAATAGGCCATAGTAGGTTAGAATTCCCTGTACGCGATGTTTTGACCTCCACAGAAACGCGTGGAACAGGTAAAAACTTTTTTTAAGTGCCCGTTGTGTTTGACTTCCGAGAGAGAAATGTCTGGATCTTTCCCCCTTAATCCGAACCCGATTCCATCGTCAGAACAGGTTGAGACGTCAGTCCTCGAGATGTTAACAAGAGATATTACGCGCAAGGAGGCAGGCACCCCATAAAAATGATGAGTAGCACAGACAAAAGGGGAGAGAGATTCAATCAGATTCGCGTTATTTCTTACCACCAGGTGGACCTGATGGGCCATTCTCTCTACGAGATCGTGCACCCAGAGGATCAAAAATTGGTCGCTCATCATCTTCGAACCGGTGAGTTCCCATAGGGGAGAAAGTTTCAATGAGGCCTTTGCAGAGGGGACAGGGAGTGGCATTTGGGAAAGAGCATCCATGCCCGACATTTGACCCACATCTCATCATAATTCGCAATGCAACGACCTTTTGATTCTCGTTCGTCGATCCCTCGACCTCGTATGAAGAAAGGCAGAATTTACCATCACCGCATCTGGCCTTCGTCACGTAAACTTTATGGACGAAAAAAGAAATGTGCCTGCAAGGCATATATTCGCGGACTGGTTGGAGAAAAAAAAAGGATTCCCTGCTGACTGAATGGGAGCGACCCTAAAGACCTTTTCATAGCCTGTTTTAAATCATGCTTCACTGCGTGGATTGTTGTATCCGTGAGGGGTAGAACCTGAGTTCGAGTGGCTCAAACCTAAATATTTAAATAAGCTCAAACCTAAACATTTACTTCTGCACGTTTTCAACAATGGATGCTTCAATCATGCTTCAATGCCAAACAATGAAAAGTCTGTAAACTAAAAGAACCTGTCTTAAATTAAATTAAACTTTTAATTTCACCCGAGAAGATATGAAGTGAACAGTCTCAAATCGTCGACACCTTCGTGATTATGGGCTCTGGGATTGTGTGTAGAGAACGGGTCGGGGTATCGTTCCTTCTACTGTCGGCTATCGGAGAGAACACTGAGCCGATCGGATCCAGGGCGCTGGGTCCTCATGTCCGTCACTGGTCACTATCGACCCTGGAATGGACATCGAAAGGCACGCCCTCATCATTCCGACGACGGTCTGTATTTCATTATCTCTTTTGTACCTTTCTCCCGACGCAGATTTTGGATTTCTCAGCAGTCCTGCAGGGCAAGGTGCTTATTGACCTTCACTTTCTTCGAGATTCTCTGTGGATTTGAAAAAGGTTGCATAGCCAAGCTGACACGATACATAGGGCTTGTTTCTCGCCTTTGCAGAGCCCTAATATAATCTAAATATGAACTAAATCGAAGTTAAATCCGATTCTAAAAGGAGACAGACGCATTCTCACAAGATATACCTACTTTTCAACGTAATCTTTATGGACATTTAGGTACTTGTTCCATCTGGGGTTCTGAATTCCCGCTGCATAGAAACTTGCAGGATGGTGTCGAAGTCATTGTAGGACTACCTGCGCTGACTTAGTCCTTTGATGTCGCCCACTTGAGAGGTTAGAACACGTACTAATTAACCCTTTCGCTGCCGTTCACGCCATATGGCGTGTTCAGCGCGACGAACCTCCACTGCCATGCTAGGCAAGGAGAGGTTGCCTGGGCATTTAAGTCCTAGGGAGTGAAAGGGTTAATGGGCGCAAGATCAGGGCTGTAAGGGGGAAGGGTAGTAAGTTCATTCTGGCCAAAGTAGCTAACGTTATCCCAACGACACGAGACCTGGCATCGTGATGCAACACCACCAACCCTTTTGAGATCAATCCTGGTCCGTTACGGAGAATTGCAATTCGAACTTGGCATTCGAGTCGGAATACACGGCAGCTGTGATTGCGTTATCCGATGGTCGGAAGTCGGTATGCAGAACACCCTCATTCGTAAAACACAAAAGCCATACGCGTCCTAGTCGAAGGAAGAACCTTAAACCTCAGCGGTGGACTGCTCGGATGTTTTCATTGCAGGTTGCGACTTATTGACTCGGATAGAAAATAGCGAACTCACGTTTCGTCACAGATAAGCACACGTCCAGAAAAGCATCTCCATCGGCATTGAAGCGCGTGAGATTGTCCAAACAAGTACTCATTCGAGCCTGTTTGCTGAACCGTAAGCATTCGCGGAACCCGACTAACGCTAACTTTCCTGAAATTCGGCTCTCCATGGATGATGTTACGGACCGTGCCGACGCTAATGTTGAATATAGAGGGAAGGAAGCACGGTGGTCCTCTCACATCGATTCCTGGACAAGACGAATCCGGTTTGCTTCCATGGCAAGTCCGGACCGGCTAGGCCGCGGATAATTGCCAACATATGTTCGGGCATTTCGAAACACTCAAAGCATTTATGAACCTTCTGATGTGACAGCAATGAGCATCATACACTGACCTCATTTCCTATCGTATCTGATTATTGTTATCCTTAGGCTCAGAAAAATCCTATCTTAGAGCTCTGCTCTTCGAATGCACAACTCCTAAGCACAAGGTGCGATCAGCTGTTGTCGTTTTGCTCACATGCTTGCTCATGTATGAGTTATGACCTTGCTTAATTAGGGGCTATGAGCGGATAAAGATTGATTACAGGGGCTCATAGCTCGTATCTGTGAGCAAACTCTCATCGTCTGATAGCAGCTTCAAACGCCATCTTAATCAAGCCGCTGAGCAATTACGTAATGCGCACATTAGTGTGGGTTCCCGTGTTAAGTACTTGACTTCCACTATCTGCATGTGCACTGCCGTCCTGTAAGCTTGTTTCAAGGGTCCTAACACCTTTGTAGCCTTTTCATTTAAACTATCCTTGTAGATTCAGATTAAAATTTAGCAAGGAACGGTGCCCTGAACTCGGATGACAAGTAACATTTTTAGGTGGAGCTCTGAGTGAAAAACAGGAAGGAACTCAATGAGAATAATATCTGAGTCCTCCCATCAATATCTTTGGTATGAAGAGTGTTCTATCGATGGACCAGCCACTCGTTTGGGTAATTGAATATCTTAAGAAGCACCTGCATAATGTGCCTGAAAAGGAGCGATTCGGCATGGGAGATTCCCTTCTAGTCAACACCAGGGCTCGGTCATAAGTCCCTTTCAAGCTCTTACAAGGTAATTACTCGCCGGATTAAATGCCTGCTTCCGGACCTCGTAAATATCTGGGGGGAAGACCAGGCCACCGATGTAGAAACTTTCCTGCCACACCGCCTCGAGGTCGGATCGGGGAAATTCTTCTTTGAGAAACAAATGAAAATATCGACACAGGGTGTGGTCCCTCTTCTCTCATTTATTTTGCGGTTTGACACACGGTTTAAATCGAAACACCCTCTTACCGACGCCTCAGGGGATCTTTTAACGGTCCCTTCTCCGTCCTTGTCTCTTGAACACGAGGACTTTCCTTCTCCTTCACGACCGATAAATCCATGCCTTATACAGTACCAGGAGAATGATAACCCATTTCCCCGGTAACGACTTAGGTTTTTCTCCTCTCTGACGAAACACTTTGCCATGGTTCTCTAATTTGTAGTTCCATAATGCTGACGATTGCAGCCCTGGGAGTCGACGTTAACAAATGCTGAAGCGATTTTCAAGGAATTATTCACTGCTAGGGTTCACATGGGCGTAATGGGAGAAGAAACAGGAACTAGTTAAGTTTTAAGCCCATATCTTTGAGAACATCGTTCTAGGGAGAGGGGGGGGGGATATATTCGTACATTTGAATGCCTACACGCCCACTGGAGAGATGAAACAAGACCAGTTTGTGAAATTGTTTATAACAGTTGGAATAGGCAGTTATGGTTGTCTTGTCATAATAGAAATTATTAATTACTCAGTTACATGATTTACGGGAGAAACGCGCAAAAATCTTTTCTTAAAACCGCTCCATTTCAACGCGAACTAAAAATTTTATATGCCGAGATTCTTATACTCCGTAGCGACAACATTAAAGCCCTTCGCGTATTCCAGCTGGCATAGAAGTTGCCTTGTATCCGCTCGTGTTGCAAGGTCATGACGGATGGCTTGGACATGGACACATACATTAGTACTAATGATGCGGTTGGTGGTGGTGCATGGGGTACAGGCGAGAACTGCAGCAGTCCGTCGACGGGAAGCGATTGGATGCTGGTTGCCATATTATCACCTGTCCGGGCTCCATCCATCGTCGAGATCTCCCTCATTCAAGCCATCCAGGACGAGTACATGACCCTTCACGCCAAGGATGGACGCATCGTCAACGTTGACCAAAGGTTCCGTTCTCCTTTTCACTTCTACACCACGCTCTTCTTTCCGCGACGGTCTTCTCTTCACCAAGCTGGAGTTTTCCAGGACTAACATCTGCGCGATATTTAGCATCATAAGAATAAAAATTCATTTTCTTCATCTCTGGAAAAGCATGGAAGCGGAATGGATGTAACATACTCTGAGAGGCACTCGATCTCAAATCGGAATGATCTCAAATGATCAGAACGTTTACAGCAGAGTTGTCCCAACTCTGAAGAAAGGTAACAATTGGAAACAAAACATTCTTATTCAGTCCAATAGGGATGAGCTCTAGACGAAGGGATAGACTTACTTCGTGTTAAGCTTTTCTTTCCCCCTTTTCAACATTTTTATCACATATTGAGTTCAATTAATGTTTGGTAATTTCTCGTACCGAATGAACATGGTGATCGAAAGAATATCTTTATGTTGCGTATACTACTAGTATGACAATGTTGGAGCCATTTCTCGACAATTTTTTTGAGGAATCTCGGACTGATCACTTCCATACGTGAACCTTGGGAGTGCGCTATAATACACGTGCGACCACGGTTGCACACATGGACCACACATGGACATCAGAGGTAAGAAATAAGAGGCCTACTTGTAGCCTCAAATTACTTAAGGGCGTTTGATGAGGTCTTCATTCTCACTTGCTGTTGAAGAAACAATCGAAAAGGAACTGAGCCGTTCTTCTTGAAGGCCGAGGTACATGGAAACCATTTCCTTCACATCTTTTCGGTGAACCCTTTATGATGCGCTGAATGTACGCACGTGTATATTTATTCTGACCACTCCCATCTCCTGAAAAGAACTTCCTTTCAATTTTTGGCCAGACTTCAGTGATAGCAGAAAATCTAGGTCAACCGATCCGTCGTGACACAATGGACTCGGAACCACCCGATAATCATAGGGAAACCTTGAAGGTTATTCGCCCCCACTCTCTGCCAAGGGCGTTTCTGCAACAAGGACCTTTACGTGAACCTTTTCCTCCTCCCCCTGTACTTTTTCTCCCCCTCTCCCTCCCTTCCTTCCTCCCTGTCATCCTTCCTCGCTTTTACAGTCGCGCCGACCAAGTTGAATGAACGGCGAGGGAGTTTTTTTCTTTATACCTTATTACATTTCCTCCCCTTCCGTTCCCCCCTGCCATTACGAACCCGGTGGAGGACTGCCCCGTGGCCTGTTTATACGGCTCCAGGGCAGACGGAATCCTTTTTTCTCCCTCCGTCTCGTACTGGGTGATCCAAAGGAATGATACGCTAGTACTCATGATGTCTCTTATCTGCTCTTTTTGTCTCTACCATAAATCTTATCCATTAGAATAAAATCTGACCCACCGTTTCTGAATTATATATTTGTATAAGTAGTGAGGTTGCATTTCTACTTCAACATTAGATTTCGTGTTAACATTTTCCATGCAGATGTAAAATCTTGAATCGACCAAAACCTTTAGCGAAGCGCCGAAATTTCAATATTTATATTTAAAAAAGCTACAGTTAAAGGTTATATGCTCATTGCATGAAGTCTGTGAAGTCAACAGGCTATTCGGAAACGAGAGAATTTTTGTTGCATCACCCTGTGAGAAGTATACGAGATGAGGGACAGGTCGGAGTGAGGAGTACGAGAAGAATAAGTACTGGGAGAGGTATCGCTACCCGAGGGGGCTGGACTCACGCTACCAGGTCCTCCATCATCATCAAGTGAATGCTCTCGAGTCCTCTCTATAATCCCAAGTTCATCGTCTCCAGCCGGTCAAATGCCCGCTTCACTAATGGTTAGCGAAGGTGCTGAGATCATCAACGTCGACACCTTTACTGCTTTTCTGCCTCAACGATTCCTCATGGCAACTCGGACGGACGACGTTGGAAAATTCCTTGCATCCGTCGTCTCTTGCTTATGAGGTTGAAGGGGTGCGGACCCAATGTCGTGCCTTTTTTTTTCGTCGGCTGAAGTTTGACGATGGCATGCCTCTCGTATGCGAAGAGGGATATAAAAAAGGGGCGGACTTCTCAGTGCTCACAATAGAAGGAGCTCCAAGGTCCTCTTGCTTTACGACTTAAAAAAAAAATCAGCAAAAGATCCAGCCTCTCTTCAAAAGGTATAAACTTCTCCTGACTTATGGCCAGGGAAGCTGCCGTAAATTCCGCTCCCCTTCCTACAACTACACTCCATTTCCTTAATATGTAGTTATGACCTCGACTCCCCCTTTCCCCCTTCCACTCCCCAATTCGAAAAGCAAAGTTTCTAACGACGAGACCATCGTGCCCTCATAATCGGGTCCATCTGACACTCCCTTTCTCTTTTATACCCGCAAACTTCCGCGTCTGACCTCGCAATCCACGATTGGCACTCAACCAGCTGATCCGCCCGTATCAGTTGCTTTTTTTGAGGCCTCATTTAAAATGCAGAGGGGATGTTTTTCTCGCACATCCGGCCATCAACTATCGCAGGTTTTTGTACTTCTCCCCCTCACTCCTCCCTTCCCCTATGTACAGATCTTACGGAAACTGACCAGGTTAGCCATGCCTGGTATGTTAGTGAACAATGGGCAGCTCGGGGTTAGAAGGAAGGGGAGTCAGACATCGTGAACTTGATTTATGATCCATTAAGTGGACGTGATCAGACACACTACGCCGCTCCAGCGCCTAGACGCAGTATCCGTTTTATTATGCCTAGGACACCGAGAGAGAAAGAACAATGACTCGCCTCTTATATATATAATACATGCAGTTCTATGCTTACACTAGGGTCAGGCAACTACAGGAAACAAAAACATTTTGCTTGAGCAAGACAGAAATGTCAAAGAAAGGAGTTAGCTAGTTACGATAAATCTTACAAAATTCAACTTTGCCTGCCGATAACGCGAATCAAGTTTCGGTATTAAAATCACGAATTTATTATTTATTCGTGCCGAAACCATAAAAACGTAAGCAGGTGATATTTAAAAATGTATATGCACCAGATTCAGGAACTAGGAAGCTACGTATGTCATAATACTTATGACTCCAAGGGAGAGTGACTCGCAAAATAATTGTCAATGGAGCAGGAAAAGGGTTTGCAAGATGAGAAAGTCGAGTTTTTGTTTCCACACAAGCACTTGCATCATCTTTCAAAAAGGCCCCGCGTATGTACTGTTGTCTCGGCGTGATGAAGATAATGAGGATATTTTTTTAATTAGCCGAACCGGAACCCCGTTTTTCATTCCTCTATGGCTCTGTATATTACTGTAGAAGTCTGTTCACTCGTCCGTGACCTTTCTGTCTTTTTTCTGTAATCCATGTCAGTCCATGACTGCCTGGGTCTGGTCTTCAGATGTCCACATGCACAAAGATCTGCGCTAGATCTGTGCAAGATTAGTCGACGGAAGAGAGGAAAGGGTTGAATTTTCCATTAATTTTCTGCAGAGGGGTAGGGATGTGTTGAAGAGGATCAGATGTGTGCATTGGGGGGGGGGGGGGGGGTTTGTCATCGTCTCCAATGTCCCTCGCCTCATTACAGGTCCATTGTATTCATGGAAATTGGCTCGACCTCTATCTCAACCAGTCATCTTACGCTCTGCAAGGCCCTCTCTGTCTCGATTCATCTTTCCATCCGTGAACTACATTACTGTCCGAGCCACTATTGTGCCTTAGACAGTAGAGTGGTTCAGTAAGAATCGTAGCGAAGAATAGTCCTTGAAACACAAAGTTCTACCCTTCTACCCTCATGCTCACGTTCGCAATCTCGCATGACCTCCAAAAGCAATATATACTTCCTTATCTTACCAAGCTCTTCTTGGCCACGAAATTGAATAAGTTTTGGTTCTGAAATCTGAAAATCTGGTCGCATGTGTTTGAAGAACATGCTCTTTGTCTTCTTCTGGGCTCGAACATAGAAACGGATCTAAAGCTAATTCTGCAGGACCGGTTTGAACTAACGTGATGGCGTTGGACTTGACTCGCGTTGCAGGGATGCCTTTTAGAGTTTCAATTACTGAATTGGAGCTGGAAGTATTAGAACATGCATAATATTAAGTGAGACCTGATTGCAGAAGGGAAAAGTTCAACAAATGAAGTACCACTAAACTCGTCTTGCACTAGAGGCGTGCATCTTGAGGTACCAAGCACTGTCATTGTGGTTGGGGAATTTTAAACCCAATTTAGTATGGAGTACTTCGCACTAATTAGACAATAAAAGTATGTATACTTACATAGATCAAATATTACATATTATCTTTTTTTTATTAATGAGTTACAGTTGCTTTATCTCACCCTAGGGCTGCTTCTGGGGGTCTGAATTACTGACACCTCCCTGAAAGAATTAAAAAGTAATCATTTTCCAGAGTCTGACCTAGAGGAAAAACTATCAATAAATGGACGACTTCGACGAATGAGGCATGATCAGACTCAAGTAGCACCAAGGCCTTTCCTTACGGAGTTTCAAGGATTAATACAGTACTGAAATAGGAGGTGATTACTATCTAACGAAGAATCAACTATATGGAAGACTCGGGTTTGAATTCCAATCCCATTGAAAAATATTTAGCTTCTTTCTCATGATTAATTTAATTCGGTGAGCGGCATAGGTCAGGTCCGAGTTAAACTCGCTTCTTGGCAGGCAATCTGCTTTCGAATACCCCATTTCACCCATTGCTGGCGAATACAAAGCTGGCGATCGCCAGACTGATGCTTGCATTCACATGCATTATTTCATTGACAAAAGAAGTGATCAACATATGCATAACCAGATATATATGAAAGTGGGAAATGTAAGTGTACAGGTAACATGTAGGATTTTTAAAATCATAATATGGGACCTGTAGCTGTGTATCAAATTAAATGGTGTTTCTACGAGGAAAAATGCCATTTTAATTGGTATTCCAGGGGGTAAAGGTCCATGCTGAAAATTAATGTGCATTTCCGAGTCAAACATCTTGGCTACTTTACTTGCTTGGGGAGTCTTGCACGTGCGAGTTCGTCTTAACCCCATGGACGTCTCTGATATATTTCCTGCAAAAGGAAAGTTCCTCTTCGACGCTTGACCACGCGACGTCAGCACGTATGCGAAAGTTGCGAGAACGACAGTTGTATCTTCATGCAGTTCATATTTTCGTTCTCCAACGTACGTCTGGTCCTTCAACTGCATAGGAATATTGGAAAGGCATGAGTTCGGAAGGAATCGTTGAGATTGCACGAACTTGAATATAGAGGCCTACTTTGCAGATTTCCTTTGCAGAAGTGCCGAGGAAAACGATCACCATGGCAACGAGAGAGGGGTGGGGGAAAGTTCGTCTCTTCCCCTCCTTCCCCTTCTTCATGATCTCCTCCCCCTCTTGTGTCTTTCCTATTCGTACCATCCAGTCCTGGTACTGAATACCTAAGCAACCGTGCAGAAGAGAGGAGAAAGACCCCTTCTTATGCAAATACATGTCTCTGCTTTGTGAACATTCTGAACTGAGGAACCTAAATACGTCTAACGCTCCCCCCCCCCTCCCTTACTCCTCGCCCTCGCCCCCTCCCCCGCACCCCCTCCCGCCTCTCCTGTCATCCCATCTTCCCCTTCTCTCCTCTTTTTTCTTAGCGTATCTTTTTCTGTGAGAATTGACTTTTCCTTCTCAGCGTACCGTTACACCATTCGGTTTATGGGAGATCCAGTTAAGCTTAACATGAAAATTAATGAACAAAAACCAAAATATTCCAGATTTTTCCAAGTGTCTGGAAGCTTTTTGTAAATCTCTTCACTGGCGCGGAAGAGCTGGTCTCGTCATTCAGTCAGACCACCCCAACGATTTGTTTCTGAAAACATGCCAGCGAAAGGGTTAAACAGGACATTTCCAACCAGTTCTCTGAGCATACTTGTTCTTACTCTTTCCCGAGTAGTCTATTACCATTGTCACCGAACGGCTTCTTTGAACGGGGATTAATTGCTGACATAATGGCATCCGGGAGAGCGGCAAAAGGTTGCTGCGACTCTGGATGCCAATCATAAATGCTTCGATGCAAGACCTTCCCTTTCTTATTGAAGGATTAACATTTGGGAAAACAAAGCGCGGATGAGAATTATAGAGAGCATTCAAAAATAAGATTTATGCTTTCCGAACCTTGACAAGAATGTACAGGGTGGCGCAAAAATCTCTATACATTTTTTTGGAATTTGTTTGCGTCTTCACTTGTGCTTATTTTGCCATCCGATTCTCATCTGTTTCAGTGACCACAACAACTTACCGAGTCAAATCGTAACAAATATCATCCACCAAGTCAGCGGATATGACCAGTTTCAGTAAGAATTACGCGAGGAAAGTGTAGCTAGTAAAAAATGTATGGATACTTTTGCGCCACCCTGTAAATGGAAATTATGGAATCCTGATGAAAGATGTCGTAGATATTACTTCTGAAGAACGGAGCCATCTGGTACCCTGACTGGTTCTTCTTTCAGTACTTGAAAAAAAAAAAGAGACAAAGGCATACTGAACACATGGTGCTAGCATACTCCATGTACAAAGAGAGTACAAAAGAAGCAGGTATTCAGGTGACCAGGTGGCACCTTTGCCTTTCAAATGCAACATTGTCTCCGTCAAGGTTGATCGTAAAGTTTCCGCACAGAAAACTAGTTTCTAGTTTGAAAAAAACTTGTGGCTGTTGGCAGGATATCTGTGGTTGCTGGATACACGGTCAACGAAGTACTGGGCAAGAACGCTTTCAGCTTCATCTCCCCTGAAGACCAGCAGGTTGCTTATATCGCCTATAGCCTCAGTGAGTTTTTTTCATTAAAATATTTAAATCTTTCTTCCTTGGTTTAAGGATGCGCCTGATGGCATTCTCGTGTCGTCTTTCCAGTGCACAATAGCTCGGATGGGTCGGGATTGGTCACCTACCGCCTGGTGACAAAATCCAACCAATTCATCTACATGCGCTCCCGAGGTGTCATGGAACCAAACCCCAAAACTCTGGAAATTGAACATTTCGTCTGCATCAATACTCTACTCAGGTAGTCTATGGTTTAACATCGACTCTTCTCGTGACATTGAGACGTTAGGTCGAGTCGAACTTGAGTGGGCATGATGCTACAGGCTTAAAAAAGAAAGTTGTGATGGATACCCACACGTATTATTTTCATTGCGACTTACAACCGTTCTGATCGGGCGTAATAAGGACGATCTAGAACAGGGGTATAAGACTCAAAAGACTGTGAGGGCCATTTGCAATTTTACTCACCTACCGTGGACCGCAGCCTGGCTGACCATAGCTGTTGCCAACAGGGTAGGAGCCATAGTAGCACTTACTGTACAACGCCACCAGTCACGGCGGACCGCGAGCAAGGGCCCTTCTGGCCACATGCGGCCCGCGGGTCGTATGTTGTGCACTCCTGATCTAGAATAACCGTTTGCATTGGGTAATGAATACATGCGGTGGCGCCTATTCCGTTTCTTCAATCCTTTCCTGTCTAAAAGAAATCCTCCTATTCCTCTATGAGAGAATATGGAGGAATAAAATAAAGCTTGTTCCATACCCTCTGGACACAGAATCACTCGAAAACAACACTAGATGTACTCATACATACGTAACATACGTTCTCGCCGAGATGGTTCAAGAGATTTGATGGACCAATCCTAGGCTAATGGACTGATAACCCATGAGTACTTGATCGACCCCACCTGAAGTCAATCCGTGAACAGGGTAAGTCTCAATTTCGATTTTGCTCCGCAATCAACTATCGCTCTAGTTATTTTGGGTCATCATTGAGGAAATCTTGACATCTCATTGCCTTAACAAGGGAGGAGGCGAAAAAAAGGGGGAAAAGCTTTTATAGATGTATTCGCGTTATTACGCAATCACTATCGTGGTTACATCAATGTGACTTCATGTCCTTCCAGTTCCGATTCATTTAAGAAGCATACCGCCAAAGGACCGGACTTTGGGCTAATACGACAGCATTTCAAGCTAAAACACAACCTACCATATCTCTGTAAACCCTGAACTCATCAAAACTCCTTAAGTATTCACAAAGGAGAAAATTATTCCTCAACATGCCCATCTAATTATGAAGTTCAGATAGATTGAAAATACGGGAAAAGCGTGGGATGAACTAATGTAGCGCATTATGCCAATGCAGCTAAAACATTCCCCCCTGCTCTGTTCATGTCCCTATTACCCCTTCTCTCATGTGGCAGTCATAACATAACCAACTCAAAGAGGGTGTTGGGTTCATTGCCCTTGGGGAAGGCGTCCTCGGTGTTTTTTTTTTTTTCCTTTAACCCCCTCGGCCGTATCTGTACGTTGGCGTAACATGGAGCATTCACGAACTCCTCAAGGCAGTCCTTCAGTACACAAGCAAACATTTGTGAGCCCTCGTAACAGAACTCGGATTTATTTACCTGGGGGTTTCCGGCCTCATTTCTTTTCGACGGGCGTATCGGCGAGGTACACCGCAAAGAGGCTTTAATTATTACCCTCGAGAAGGAACACATTGAGTATCTTCTCCTCTCTGTTGATGAAGTGAGCAAGAAGGGGAAGCAGAGTACCTGAAGCAGTTACAAAGATTGACTCCGTTTGTCCCGGTGGGAGCTGGAAGAGCAGCCGCGGTTTCCAATCCCACCAATCCTCCACCTCTGCCGCTTGGAACGCCTGGAGGACCATCTCCTTCAATTATGCAATCTCTCTCATCTTACTCTTATCCTCCGAATGTCCCGGTGCCCTGGGTACCAAAACCTCATCTCCACGCTCCCAAGATCTCCGAGCATTTTCCTCTTCACGCGCAGGTAGGTATCGCAAACTATCGCCTCGCTATCGATTGACTTTTGCTATTAATTTTGAAAAAAAAATAAAAAGATGAATGGGGGAGAAGCTGGACGAATGGGAAGTCGATGGGCGATGGAGGAACCTCGAAGTTGTTTATACGATCCCCTATCTACCTCTTCGGACTCCCTCATCTCATACGGATCCTCCTCTCATTTGAATTACCACAATCAGCATCAGCCTCAGCAGAATCACCTGTCCTGTCACCATCACCACCACCAGGACCATCATAATCCAAGTGATTGCAGTGAAGAAGAGACGGAGTATAGCAGCGGGACGTCGAATTCCCCAAGTCCGGGGGGAGGTATCAATAACCACTGGTCATGTGTTCATAACGGGAACAGCTTGATTAATCAAAACTGTGCTAAGACGAATTTGACCAGAAACAGCAGTAGTAGTGCCGATCTCAAGCGTCGATCTCAGTTCATTCAGGAACCTCATGGACTGACCAAGTTCCCTCGACTCATCGAATCAAAGGCTCACTCAAACTCAAATTCTCCATTCCATCTGAACCCTCACTACACCTCACTATAATCCCTCCTCTTCCGTTTCTGCGAGCATTCACGGGTTTCTTTTTTGTTTCTTCTTGTCTCCATCATTTCCCCGATGAGTTCCATTTCATCAATGGTACAACTTGGTGTCACCTCCCGCCTGGATCGCTCAACCGGGTTTCAGTTGTTCCCATAAAGCCACCTCATTTTATTTTTAACTGTATAAAGTAGCCATTAAAGCAGCCGGCTCTCTGGTATCCAGGTTCATGGGCCGGGCTCAGAAGGGCAAGGAAGTCGCGTTGAATGATTTGCCATTAAGTGCTTCTTTCTCTCTTTTTTAAAATCAAATATTCAAGTACAAACGTATGGGTTGGCAGACTTCCCTCTGCATTATTGTGCACTTTTGCTCGGTCAGAAGACACACTTGCTCAAATTATTTGCGTAGGGAATTTTTAATAATAGATATTGAGGTATGGTGAGTGTGGATGCCAGTGCCATTCCAACGAGAATGTGTCCCTGTACATATCCAGAGCATGCACCTTCTGAATAACCTTTGTTACCCCCCCTTTTCTATTCTCCAATGAAGTCATTCAGTGCTGTGTGAACTCTGGTGCTCTTTTCAAGTATTCATGCGTTGAAATTAATCAAAGTTGCTTATCCTAAAAACAACCACTGTCATGCTCACGTCAAGATAATCAAACAAGATATCTCTGACTTGTTCCATATTGCAGTTCAGGAAGGAAGTCTTCGTGTTCTGGAAGAGGAGTGAGAATTATTCTTACAATTTTGGTTCCGTGTTGCAAGTCTGAGCGGCGAATCAAAATGGAAACCGAAAAGCGTGCAGTCATTTTTCAGAATTTCGAAAAAGGCATTAATAACATGTTGAATGCCAGGGAAGAATGTCTAATGGATGAGTGGCTGGATTGTCTTCGGTTCATATCTGGTAAGTACGTGTAAAATACCTCAAGGTTGTCGAGTGTGAATCGAAGAACGAGATGTTAAAAGTATGATGAAGATGATCATGACGATGTGTATTCAGTCAGCAATTCAGCCAGGAATTTTATGTTCCTGTCCTGTTCGTGTTTTGTTTTCTTTCTCCAGTTGCCCTTACCTTACTGTGTGTCGATCGTTTGTTGGTTCGGATGTCTTCCGTTATTTTTTGAATAAAATCCAAACTCCAGGCTCACCCGAAGAGTCTGTCTAGTTCACAAAACCTTCAAAAGTTGAATAAGTTTCTTATTTGAGAGTGATGAGGCGAGACATGGCAAGATTTTTTGTGTTCTTTGAAGCTCTTTTTTTGGAGGGAATGCTAATATTTGCGTCCAGCTGGATTTCATGCTCAAGAGGGGGAAGGATTGTGTCCCCGAAGGGGAGATCCAGAATTGGATTCTGGTCTGGAATTTCAAACACGGATTTGAATAAATAAAAAAGGAAGAGGGATAAAAAGTGAGAGTTCATTCCAATCAAGAATAAGGGGAGGACCGGAGGGAGAAGAAGGGGAAATGGGATGGAATATGAAGGTTCACTTTTTAAAGGCGACATGAAATATTTATGCCTGGTTTCCCCCAGAGGAATCTGGGGGTGATCATTTTGATTGCGGAGGAGAAACCAGACTCATGTCATCATCATTGTGTCTGGAACTCCGGCTTCATCTGATTGGTACTGTACCGGTACAGGGACTGACTTCTCCTCAGATTCTTCCTGTCATCTTCCGGATGGGGGTGGAACTAATACCTGGTGCCATTACTCAGGGGGAGCGCACGAAGTCTTTGGGCGAATTACCTTGCTTCATTCTTTTCGAGACAGCTTTCATCACTTCTCGGTTGAACCATTTCAGTTGAAGCAGCACGGCTCGTCAGGAGAGGCAAAGGAAACCGGGATCCCCAATAAATTCTTGGGAGTATACGACTTACGTATATGAGGTGTATATGACTTAGGAGTATACCTTACGACTTTTTAATATCCATCAAGTACTGCAATGCAGTGTGGGAAAAAAAAATGTTTTCCCTCGAACCTGAGGCGACAAATTTAAATTTCCCAGGAAGAATATGCAAGAGGACTAAGCGGACCGCCCGCCTGCGCGTCTCCTTCCCCGCGAACCTCGTTCGCAGGTTCGCAAGCGTTTTCCTAGCCTGTCAGTGCAATTTCTCTTTGGAACTGGAGCAGAACCATTGGACTCATTCTCTAGTGGTACTAGTGGTAGTAAAAGTGGGGTGGCAAGATCTGGGAGGCCTCCTCAGGTCCATAGACAACGCGTTGGGGTATCCTGTAGCACACGCAATATTGTAGCATATGTCGGTGGGGAGGCTGGTCTGCAGTTCGCATTGTGCATGAGCAGGTGCCTGCCCAGAAACTCTCACAAGTATCCAGGCTCCTCTTGCCTCAGGTAAAGAGCTGCTCGGGCCTCGCAAATTCTCAGTCAGTTAATATCGATGCAGGTAGCAAGAGAAGTCTCCAGTTATACTCTACATAATCTTGAGAGGTGAACTAGATTGAATTCTACTTTGGCGTAGCTCTGAAACTCGCAACGAGAGAAAGTTGTGGGACTGGACTTTTAAAATAGACCGATGCAGTTCAGCTTTCCAAGTGTTCATCAGAAATATCAATTTCCGCATTACTTTTACATGATTTCGATTCGACATATAGTGCTTATGTGGAGCGTTGTCTCAGCCTTTTTTTTGCCACCTGCCGCTGCGAGAACTACGGCTCATCGAGCGATATGACTGGCCTCAGCACACCTCTGTGCTTCACGCTCGCATTATCAGTATCATGGAATCGTGTTCATTGCGAGAGTAATGAGCTGGCCTCCCTAGATTTTTCTTTCACGAGCCGCCATTGCGTTAAAGGTAAAGATACATGCAGGTAACCATGACAGTACCGGTACTCACTCCATCCAACCCAGCACATAATAGCCCTACCTGTGTAGCAACTACTCATAGCACACCAAAGCCATCAGGCAAAAGCTTCAAGAAATTGAAGAACTCATGGACGATGTCATTGCTCTCTTGTGACAAGAATCCAAGTCAAGTTCCTGCACAGAACTTGACAGGACTTCTGTTCCAATACCTCTTCACAAAACTTTGATCTAGTTGCTGGGGCATCACAGACTTTCCGGAAAATGATAGCGCGAATGCAGCAATAAGTCTTGCTCGCTCAGTCGCATTTCGCCATTTGGAATCTGAAATGGATGAAGAATGACTTAAGTGAAGCAAACCTTCGAATGGTGATTCTACTGCTGCGCAGGCTGTGGATGGGGGGGGGGGGGAGCGAGGGGGCGATCGTTTCAAGTCATCCTTTAGAATGATGGATGACTTTGATGACGAGCTTTATTTATGCAACTTGTCTCCCCAAGCAAGAAGCGACTCGCATTTATCCAGTGTCTTTCTTGGCAAGAGGAGATAGAATAGTAACCGGGTATCTGAGACTTTCTCCTGAACTTGATTTCTTGATCCATTTTGCCCCGGGACGCATTTCACTTCACCCCTGGCATGGGGTAAATTTAAATCATTTCCAGGGTTGTAGAAACGTTTTCAGGTTCTTTCATGACTAATCCAAATTCACCTTGACTGCTGAATGAACATCTTGGAAACCTTAGAGAACATATTGTTAGACGGTCACTTTATCGTGATCTGACATAGATTTATGACCCTGACAACTGTTAACATTCCACTTTGCTCAGAACTCCCTTATCATCATCTCCTCAGCAATAGCTTCCATGGTATTCAATATTCCAGTTCACAGCTCAAAGTTAACGCAACTATGGGACATCCCATTAGGAAAAAAGGTCAAGGCCTTTTTGACTCCTCTGTTCAAGACCAGAAAATTTGCTACGGTCGCCATTCATTCAAGATGTTACTGTATACCGGGCTTTCTGGTGAAAAACATGACCTAATGAAGAGAACCTACCTAATGAATATAGAGCTACAAGAAGAGTGTCTCTTCAAAGCGAAAGGAATACCTTCAAAGCAATACTCTTAGTCACAGGATCTAGTTGTGGAAGTCGAGTCAGGTGCAGCCTGATTTAGTTCTTTCAACGATACACTGTCGTGTGTTGAAACGAGACGGATGCCCGAGTGGGCGTCGCAAAAAGGAAACGAAAGTCGGGACGAACCATGATAGAAGCCAAAGCGAAAACTGTGACCGGAGACATTTGACCACCACTCTCGCAACTCGTCGCTCATTGGGATCACACGATTGCACGGACCTGGAAGTTGGGGGGTAGGCTCACTTTGGAACACCAGACTGTAGCGTGACGAAACGGCTGACTTGAGATAGGACGAAACGTGAGGGGTCGGAGATACTTCAACATCCACCTTTCAGTCCAAACTTATCCCTCTGCAATTTCCACGTGTTTGGCCCATTGAAAGATGAATTGCACGGCATCAAGTTCAGGAGTGAGAAAGACATCAAAACCGCCGTGGAAAGATTGGTTGTCATTCTTCTATGAAGGGATGCAGAAGCTTGGTAACGATGAGAAGAGTGTGTGAATGTTGGGGAACTACGTGGAAAAGTAGATATGAATGTGTGTTATACTTTCGTTCAATACATTTTGTCTCATTAGAAGTGACTCTCGTAGTTTACCCAAAGAATATTTTAAAGCGATAACTATTTTTCGCTTGGATATAGTACAAGACCTGCCACAATGCAAAGTTTCATGAATCAACTCCTCGTACTTCCCAAGATTTTTCAAGAACATAAATTTACTCACACATCCATTCATACGTGCAAAAAGACGAAAGTAATCTACACATCCACACGGTCAGTTTGTTCCGCTCGTTGGGGCTTCGAGTCGAGCATCCCGTGCCAAAATTGCTGGGTAAGGGTATGGTAATGAGAGTGCAAAGTTACTATGAAAAGGGCCTGGAGTGCAGTTGCCTATGGAAGTATCCCAGAAGCGTATGAGATATTCTGAGTTTTCAGAAACAACGGGGTCGCATTAAGGTATTGGGTGCTCTAGACAGAAATCACACCACCTCCCTTCACTCGGCACTATCTCGCTCTTTTCATCGGATCCAACTGCATGGCTCCCTTAAAGCGCACGCCTCCTTCGCCTATCCGCAATCTAGCCTCGGGTTGAAAGCCAGAGTCGCGGCTAACTAGAGAATATAAAGGATGAAAACGATACAGAACTCCGAAGAATGAGACCAGTCATTCGATGGTCTGATTCGTAAGGACACCTCCCCTACCTCGGATAGGGAAAGAAGAGAGGTAAAAAACGAAATGGGGAGCCGCGTGCGAAGGTTGGG